TGTGCTTCAGAAATTTAAAGACTTTGGAAGTAATTCATAGTCAAAGAAGTAGAAAGCTCAGAGCGTGGGAAAGTTAAAGATGAAAGCACTGTCATCCAGAGCAGCCTTTGCCCTCGTGGGCACACACCCTCCCTGTGAAGTCAGGGTCACACTGGGCGTGTTGCGCACGTAGCCACTCCAGGTGGCATGAGGGAGTGGAGTGCGGGCGAAGAACCCCCAGGTGGCAGACTCGGCGCCAGGAGCGTGAGACCGCAGTGTTCTGGGTTGATCCTGAGTGGAGGTAGTATTGGGGGTGGAGATGGAATAATGGTTAAGGTTTGTCTTTTCTTTCCACTTGTCTTCATGTGGGCATGACCCCGCCCAGCCAGCTCTCCTGAGGGGCCCCTCACCCTTCTCTGCTTTTCCTTGGTTGTTGCTTTTTTCCGATGCTCCGTCCAGCGTGCCCACGAGGGCAGGGACTGCCGCGCCTGGACTTGGCCCGGCCAGAGCTGTCCCTCGTCTCCTGGTAAACGCAGCGCATGCTTGTCCAGGGAACTTCTGAAGGCTTCACCCTGCAGAGCCTGCCTGCAGCCCGTGATCTCAGGCCATCTCTCCCTGTCCTACCCGGAACCCAGGTTACACTCTGGTGCACCCTTTCAGAGCACATGGGAAGAACTCGGAGTTGCTCTTGGTTTCTGACGAGGAGGACATGGCCACGTGGCAGAGGAGAAGCCTCCCCCTCCAGTGGGCAGGCGGCCTGAAAGCCCAGACTGAGACGGAGGCCAACCACACCAGGTACGTGCGGGCCCGGGGCTGCGGGCTGTGGCAGCAGCCCGGACTTCAGAGAGGCCAGGCCAGGAGTCAGCAGCACCCAGCACCGTGAAGATGCCCCATGTTACCACTGCTCACTGGGTTTATCTGTAGGAAATCCTCAAGGTTCTGCAGAAAGCTATTAGATCTAATGAATGAGTTCACCAAAGTGAGCTTTATTTAAGATGAGGGCTTCAGCCAGCATAGTCAGTTTTCCTGGGTCTCTCCCATGTATATGGGTTGTTCAGTTTGATTTTCTTCTGTTGAAACAAAAACCGAGGTGGAGCAACCCTTCTCAGTTGTCACTGCGTTTCCCGAAGCCTTCTTCCTGCTCGCGGACACAGGATGTCGTCTCTAGCTCCTGCCGTCCCCTGCGGCCGCTGTGACCGTTGCTCAGGGCACGTTTCTGACCTGAGCCCGTGTCCCATGTGGGGAAGGCCTCAGAGCTGCCTCCTTTAGGGGAGCTCCCTTAGGGGAGCCGCCGGGCTCTGGGTGACTGGGGCCGCTATCGCCCTGCAGGTTGTCCTGCCTGGCCGTGTGTTTGGCTCTGGTGAGGCGCTGCGTGGTCGCCTATGGCCCCCTGCCCTCCTTCCACGACATCACGCAGCCCCTCCGAGCCCTCCTGACGGAGCACCTGTCCGCCCGCTGCTGCCCACCCACGCTCCAGGTGAGGTTGGATCCGGAGGTGGGCGGGCAGGCTGGCGTTTCCAGCTCGGAGGCTCCAGGGGGCCGCCCTGCTCTGTCAAGGCTCCTCGGGACAAGGTTCCGTTCTGTTGCTCCATGGGTCTTAGTGGGCCTGGGGTCCCACCAGGCCACGTGCTGAGGACACTCTGGGCCCACAGCCCCGAGAGGCCCCGGGGGAAGGGGCAGCAGGAGGCTGGAGCGCCAGCTGGTGGGTGGGCCACCTGTGTGAGCTTCTTGGTGTCTCAGGACCTGAGTCGGAGCATTTTGACGGAGATGGAAAGCCAGCCGAGGCACTGTCGGCCGCTGGTCTGTGAGAAGAGCAAGCCAGTGCCGCTGAAACTGTTCACCCCCCGGCTCGTCAAAGTGTGAGTACCAAGGGCCCAGCACCCCAGCCCGGGGGCGTCCGGGAGGTCCGGGGCGCCGTGACGGCCTCCTGCATCGGGCTCTGCACCCTCAGCCTGGAGTTCGGCAGGAAGCAGGGCGGCACCAAGGAGGAACAGGAGCGGCGGAGGCTGATCCACAAGCACAAGCGGGAGTTCAAAGGGGCCGTCAGGGAGATCCGCAGGGACAACCAGTTCCTGGCCCGCATGCGGCTCTCGGAGATCATGGAGCGGTGAGTGGGGCGGGCGGGAGCAGGGCCGGGCCCGCCTGTAGCCCCGACGCCAGCGCCCCGCGGGCAGGCCAGGGCGGAGGGCAGCCTGGGGCCTTTGTCCCGCTCCCTTGTCCCCCACGTGTCCTGGACTGAGGTGCCGGCCCCACAGGCATCTCACAAAAGGGCAAGATGTTCCCCAAAAAGTAATCAAGAGATCGGTTATTTTTTTAGGGATGCGGAAAGAAAACGAAAAGTGAAGCAACTTTTTAACAGCCTCGCCACGCAGGAAGGTGAATGGAAGGCTCTGAAGAGGAAGAAGTTCAAAAAATAAATTATAAAAAGACAGAGATGCTGCATACTGAACGCTGAGGGGCTGCTGTCTGTAACGCCAGAGTCTTCTGTACTTCATTCTTGTAAAAAAGCCTCTCCTGACAAATTGCACTTTTGGAACTAGGACCAGGCCTCCATGGGAGCGACATGCCGATAAACTGTACGTGACGCCTGTGCATGGTTTCTAGACAGTCCTGAGTTCATCACAAACCTTGGGGCTGGCGGGGTCCTGGCCAGCATCTCTGGTCAGTCAGGCACACGTGCCTCCACGTGCAATTTGCAGGGGTATCTATAATGTTACATGATTTTCAGTTATCAATGAAACAAGTCTGCACACAGTTCAGAAGTCAAAAAAGAAAGACGTCACCTGTTTTTCTGGCACCCAGCAGCCGTGATTGGTGTCGCCCTCATCCCAGCCTTGGGTGGCCAACTGCTGGGGAAGGCAGAAGGGGTTGGGCTACATGGACCCAGGAGGCTCTGTAAGGACACAGGAGCTGCCTGCCCACCCTTGCGGCCCTAGGGCTATAGTCTCGCACAGAATGCTGCCTCCCTGCCCGCCCCAGGCCCCCAGGGTCCTGGCTCCCCAGGTGGCACGGGGCATGTGGCGGAGGCCCTAGAGCTCACATCAGGGAGCCCGTCCCTGAGGTCACGAGCCACAAAAGTGAGCACGAGATTTGAGGATTGGCCACACTGGGCGTGTGGAAGATGAGAAAGAGGGTGACCAATTCAGACCTCCCGGGCGGAGGCTGGTGGGAGTTATGAGTGATTCGGGGAGCCATAGGCGGTTTTGGGGCCAGAGCACCTCCTGGGAGCAGGCAGAGGGGACCAGTGATGGCCTCGGCAGATATGCCTGCGTCCTCTCGCTGGTGCCTCTAGGATTTGTTCCCGTAGGTGTCCGCCAGGTGGGCATCTCCACAGACCTCAGGCCCTGGTGGGTGTCGGGGGCCACAAATCAGGCTGGCTTCTCCTTGCCGTGTAGCGCGGCCTGCTGTAGAGCCTCAAGGCTCCATCTCGTGTAAACTTGTCAAGCAGCCGTTGCTACTTCACCCGGCTGGCTGCTAAGGTATTGCTGCCGAGTTTTACTGGGAGGGGGAACAGCCCCAGCTCTGGTCCTGTGCCACCCTCCCTGTGTCCTCACCTCGGCCCAGCCTGGGCTTCTGCACCCCGTTGCAGGCCTTGTCCTGGCAAAGGTTAGTACCAGGCAGAATGCCTGTCAGCCCTGCCTCCTCCGGGCCAAGGGGGCCTATAGGGGTTCGGGGAAGAAGGTGGTGGTGACAGCAGCTGTGACCACCTGGCCAGGCGCAGACAGGGCTGCTCTGAGAGCTGAACGTTCAGCCGCTTCCCCAGCCATCTCACCTCCGCCGTCACGCCCGAGCCGCGCGTGCTCCTGGGGGAGAGTAGACTCGTACTCAAGGGGAACAGCTGTACGCCGGGCAAAGGGGCTGCCTGAGGTTTATTTGAAGCTCGTGTCTACAGAGGAGTGCCTTAATGTCGAGCGGACAGGAGGGAGTGGCCTGTCCTGGTCGGCTCGACCACAGACGGAGGGGAAGCCGGAGGTGCAGGCAGGCGCTCCGGCCACCGGCGGTGCCCACGCCAGGCCCGCAGGCGCCATGTGGGCAGCTGCCCCTCCCCGGGGACCTCGGGCAGGCAGGGCGCCGGACAGTCCCGCCTCCACGCCCCACCGTCCCCGCTGCGGCCCGAGTGCGGGCAAGCCCGCGCCCCCGCGCACACTCCGCGTATTCGCAGCTTTATTTCGGGCGCAAGCCTCCGGCCGGGGCACACGAAGAGAGTCCGGTCAGGATGGACCCCCGCCCTCCGGACGGAGCGTCCAAAACCCTGGGGTCCTCAGCAGACGGGTCGTCCTTCGGGCGCAGAATCTGGGAGCAAACCTTTTGGACTGGTTCCCACCAGGACGCCGGCCACAGACGGAGCCGGGGAGGCCCGGCCCAGCACAGCGGCCGGAAAAGGGGGTGCGGGTGTCCACCCACTTCCGCATGGTGAAGCCACGCCCACTTCCGAGCGGGGGAACACGCCGGCTTCCGGGTGGGTGGGGCGGGGTCCGCGTGCCCGCCCCTCCCGGCGGTCCTCTTCGCGTCTGTCCGTCCATCCGTCCGTCCGTCCATCCCCTGGTCTGTGCTGCGCGCGGCCGCCGCAGGTGCGGGGCGGGGCGAGGCGGGCGGGGGTCGTTCTCCGGCTCACCAGGCTGCCCCTTGCTCCCGCCTGGGTCTGAGTTTCCCCGAGCGCTCCGCCTGGGGCCGTGGGGCGGGGACCGGGAGGTGCCGGGACCACGATGCCCCGCCCGGTCCCCGCTCGGTCGGCCTCCAGAGCTGGCCGTTTCTTTGCGTAACTCCCCCCACAGTCTGCGTTTCCTGCTGCCCAGGGTCGGGGGGCAGGGCGCACAGAGCGACAGCGGGTAACGGGGCAGGCAGACCCTTCAGGGGCGCTCTTGCAGTGAGTAGGTTGGGGGCACTTCGCGGGCAGAGGGCTCTTCTCCTCCCGAGGTGGGTGGGCGTCGGGGCCGGTTAGCCGGACGTGCCTTCGTGCACCGTGCCCTCGTGCAGACCCGCCACACGCTCAGCCGGGCCTGAACGGAGCCGCTCCCATCATGGGCTGCGGAGCCGGCGGGAGCTGCACGCCGCGCCCGCCCATCCGCCCGCCGGCACCAGAAACCCGCGTGGTCGCTGTGGTCTTCCTCGGCCTCCTGCTGGACCTCCTGGCCTTCACCCTGCTGCTGCCCCTACTGCCTGGGCTGCTGGAGAGCCATGGCCGTGCCCACGTGAGCCCCTCCCCGCCAGCCCCGCTGCCCCTGCACCCCGCCATGGCTGCTCCTGGCTCCCAGCCCCTCAGAGACGCCCCAGCCCGCCACGCCTTCTTGTCCTCCAGGACCCCCTCTACGGCTCCTGGCAGCGCGGGGTGGACTGGTTTGCAGCAGCCATAGGAATGCCAGCAGAGAAGAGGTACAACAGCGTCCTGTTCGGAGGTATGGTCCCGAGCTGGGCTGGGGGCCCTCTCCCTCCCCACTCCCTGGTTCTCACCTTTTCGCTCCGGGGCGTGGTCCACCCCGTCTCCCCGTGGAGTGTCCACTTCCCCTTGGGGCCCCCCGGGCCGCGTGGCGACCGTGAGCTCCGTCTCTTCCAGGTCTGATCGGCTCCGTGTTCTCACTCCTGCAGTTCCTCTCGGCACCGCTCACCGGGGCCGTGTCTGACTGCCTGGGGAGGCGCCCGGGGATGCTGCTGTCCCTGGTACGCATGTCCCCCGGCAGCCCTCTGGGAGGCAGCCGTGGGCCGCCGTGGCCCCTCCGTGGCTCTCACTGCTCCCTGGGGGAGGTGTCTGGGGAGAGCGGGGCTCCTGGAGCTGAGCCGGGGTGCAGCGGAGCCGCTCCTGCCAGGGGGACACTGGGCACACGAGCGGCCTTTGGCTGCTCCGGAACAGGGCAGGGTCCCAGGGGTACTGCGCCGGCCTGTCAGCCCCACTGTGGGCCCCTCCTGGCCTCAAGTGACGGCGCCTGCCCTTGGCCCCTGCCCTGGGGCAGGCAGGTGTGGCCACCTCGTACGCAGTGTGGGCTGCCTCGAAGAGCTTTGCGGCCTTCCTGGCCTCCAGGGTGATAGGCGGCATCAGCAAGGGGAACGTTAGCCTCTGCACCGCCATTGTTGCTGACCTGGGCTCACCATCTGCCCGCAGCAAGGGCATGGTGAGTGCGCCCTGGGGCTTAGGGGTGGGGGTCTCTGGGGCTCGGGTCTCCCTGCTCGCTCAGGCACCCTCTTTTCCCCAGGCAGTCATCGGGGTGGCTTTTTCTTTGGGCTTCACCCTGGGCCCCACACTGGGCGCCTTCTTGCCCTCGGAGACAGTGCCCTGGCTGGCCCTGCTCTTCGCCGTCTCGGACCTGCTGTTCATCTGGTGCTTCTTGCCAGAGACGCTGCCCCCGGAGAAGCGGGTAAGGTGGGAGAAAGACAGCGGCGTAGCCCCAGGTGCTGGGGAGGCCGGGCTGCATGGTCCCCAGATCCCCCGGCCTTGCTGAGGGCCCCGCAGGGTGCAGGGGCCGAGCGGGTTCCGGTCAAGCCCACCCCCAGGCCCGCTAGCAGACGCTCAGCGCCGTCCCGCGCAGGCGCCCTCCGTCTCCCTGGGGTTCCGGGCGGCCGCGGACCTGCTCAGCCCCCTGGCCCTGCTCCGCTTCTCCGCCGTGGCCCGCGGCCCGGACCCGCCCACTGGAGTCCGTAAGGAGCGGGCCCCGGGGGGTGGGGCTGGGGGTCCCTCAGGCCGCCGTGGGGGCTGCGTGCGGTCAGGGCCTCAGCCCCTCCTCGCCGCCCCGCAGGGCTTGGCAGCCTGCGAGGCCTGGGCCTGGTCTACTGCCTCTACCTCTTCCTGTTCTCGGGCCTGGAGTTCACGCTCAGCTTCCTGGTGCACCAGCGCTTCCAGTTCAGCAGGTGGGACGCCCCACACCCGGCGGGTCCCCACCGCGGCACACGCCCAGGGTCCTGGGGCGGGCGCCGCGGGACCGTCACCCTGGCTGCCTGGCCGTGCGAGGGCAGCACTGGCAGGACAGGGGTGCTGACGGCTCGCCCCTCGCAGGGTAGAACAGGGGAAGATGTTTTTCTTCATTCGGTGTCTCCCTGGTGTTCCCCCAGCCGCAGCCGTCGTGGTCCCCTGCCTGTCCTCCGTGGTCGCCGGCTATGGTGAGAGGCCCTGCCCTGGCACGAGACCAGACCCTGGGAGGCGGTCTGCGGGCCCCTGACGGCTGTCCCCTCTTACCCACAGGCTCGCCCCGGCAGAAGGGCACGGTCATGGGCACGCTGCGGAGTCTGGGCGCCCTGGCCAGGGCCGTGGGCCCCGTGGTGGCCGCCTCAGGTGAGGCCGCAATACGGCCCTCGGGGCATGCTGGAGGCCCGGCCCGGCCGCTGGGGGGGTTGCTGGCCGAGCGGGAGGGGGCAGGTGGACCCGGGGCACCGTCGCCTCCCCCGTTGTCTCCACAGCGTACTGGCTGGCCGGTGCCCGCGTCTGCTACACCGTGTGCGCTGCGCTCTTCCTGCTCCCATTCTCCGTCCTGCGGACCCTGAGCCCCCCAGCGCCGACACTCAAGGCCGAGTAGCTGGGCCGCCGCTTGCGGTGGTGTGAGGGCGGGGGGCTGCGCGGGAAGGGGGGGCCTGACCCCTCCAGCCCCCTCACCCCGCCTCCGGGGCCTGGGGCTTGCAGCTCCAGGGTGCGACACACTCCGGCATGGACCTGGCCTGTCAGGCTCAGACTCTAAAACCTTCCAGACTTTCTGCCTTGTCTTCTGTTCTCAGTGACGCAGAGCCTCAGCCCGGCCTCAGAATGACAAAATAAAACAGCTGTCACATACCAAGTGCCTTCCTGCAGCGCACACCCCGTCCCCCCGCCCCCGGGACACCCCCAGGCACCAGGGGCAGCGGCTGGAGTGACAGCTGCTTCAGCTGCACTGACCACAGGCTGCCAGGCTCTGCCCAGTTCCCGGGTCCCGTCTGCGCTGTGGTGGGGGTGCCGCCTGACGCTCGCCCCTCGCCCAGGCCCTGCCCCAGCGCCGCCCTCTGGGGAAAAACAGGCAGGCACCTGGAGCACGGTGCTTCTCAGAGCGTGCCCCGTGGTCCAGAGTGACAAACTGCTGGGTCAAGGGATAAGCGCTCGCTTTGGAATCTTTGTTTGGAACGTTACATTTCTGAAGTCCTATTTTAAAGGAACAAACAAAAGGAATTAAGATGCAAGACCGCTTCCCAAGATTAGACAAGGAAACTGCGTAAAGAATTTTATTTGTGAGTAAAACATGTTACAATGAAGAAAGGCCGTAGGACCTGTCCTCCCAAGCCTGTGTCTGTATATGCAACTAAACTTCATGTTGAGATACAAAGAGTTAAAATAAACTACAAAAATGAAATGAAAGTCATTGCATATGTGGGGTGAGAGGAGGGAGGGCAGGAGGAGCCTGTGATTAAGAGTGCAGGGCGAGGCTGGGGGGCTCGACCACCACCGGGACAAGACGACAGGGAAGCTGGCGGGAAGCTCAAAGCGGAGGTCAGCGCCATGCAGCCGGCCTCGGGTCCCCCCACTCCCCAACAGGGGCCTGTCGCGACAGGCTGGCCCCGAGCTCCTGGGACAGCCCACTGTCAAGGAGACCCCAGCCACCCCGAGCCCCACCCAAGCAGCCCCAAGCTCTGCTCCAGGGATGCAGTGCTGGAAGGCGGGAGGGGCCTTGTGATGCCTGCAGGACGTCAGTGGACCTCTGGGGCCGACTCCTGCCCCGAGCTGCCCTTTAACCAAGGGAAGGAGCACCCCAGGCCAAGCTGAGCGCAGGCCCGCCTCAGTGCTGGGCCCTCCCCAGGAGAGACAGCAGCAGAGCGCTGCCCATGCACGCCGTGGGTGCTGCGGGAGCTGCCCTGCTGGGGAGGTCCGCAGGGCCGCCCCCCGGGGACGCATCCCTACGACTGGTCAGGAGGCCCCAGGGGGGAGTGCAGCCCCGGGTCTGGTTCTGGCTGAGGGGACTGGGGCCCAGCACCAGCTGCGCCACAAGCTACTGGGGCGCCGGCTCAGCCCTGACCCTCTCCAAGGCCATCCCAGGGGCCTGGGCTGTCGGGGCGCTTTCCCAGGACCGAGGCATACACAGCAGTGAACAAAGATCACTGACCAGGCAACACCAGCAGGAAGCTACGGGTCTGATTCAGTCACCTGAGACCTGGGGGTGAAGGAGAGCCTAGCAGAGATAGGGCGCGGGTTACTCCACGAGAGGAGAGCAGGAGTGGGGAAGGCCAGAGCGGGCAGGTCTGCCCCCGTCCAGCTAGGACCCTGGCTCAGCTCCCGGGGACAGTGTCTTCAAGGAGCTGAGGAGGGGCCCCAGTGCTGACCCTGCAGGCAGGGCTGGCTCGGAGGTGGACGCGGAGCCCGCGTCTCCCCCAGACCTGAGGCCGCCGGCCGGGCCGCTGCACGCACACGAGGTTAGCACCGGTCTACGTGGGGGCTGGTCACACCGGGAGGGATGCGCTAGCTACACAAGGACGGGCCTCTGCATTCCGTTACACGGGGAGGCGGGACACGCGAGGCGACCGGGACAGCCTGGCGGCACCGGTGTGTGCAGGAAGGGCCTTCAGGAGTCACTCCTCTTCTTGCTCTTCTTCAGGAAGGAAGGGGTGCGGAATTTCTTCTTCTTTTTGGACGGGGACTTGCCCGGAGACCCATCACTGCCAGGGTCCTCGGCCACTGGGGAGGCGGCCTCCTCAGCTGCCTGGGCTGGGGCTGGCTCGGGGCTGGCCGCCAGGGGGGACCTGGTGGGAGACCCAGGGGGGCTTGGAGGGCCCCCGGCTTCACCCAACCCCTCCTCCTCTTCCTTCTCCAACGTCGGGAAGCCGAGCGCTTCTGAAGGCTCATCGGGGGACAGGTCGGGCAAAGTCGGCTTGAAGGTGGCGGCGTCACTGTCATCTCCGGAGGGCGGCTCCCGCGGCAGGTCTGGTGGGTGGGGCAGGAGAGACGCGGTTACAGAGCGACCGGCCAGGTCTCCCGGCCTCCCAAGCGCCCTGCACAGATGCTGCCCTGAACTGACTCTAACGCAGAGTGAGGAGCCCTCAGCAAGCTCTACTCTACTCCAAGGCTGGACACAGCTCTCAGTGTAAGACGCAGGCTCGGTCTCAGGGCGGACTTTAGCTCCTCCCGACGGACAGCGGGCTGACAAACCCAGACTCAGTCCCGGGGCTGGGTCCCCAGTCATGGACAGAGTGGTGAAGGCCCGTGGAGACACTCTCAGGCAAGACTGCAACGTTCTGCCTTAAACACTTGAAACATTAGAGAAGAAGCATTAGTAGTCCTGAACTTACACCTAAATCTGTATCCATGACACCTGGTCTCCCCCCAAGGAGAACACTAAACCGTGGCAGTTCATGGAGAGCCCCGAGTGAACTCCCAGACCCACGTCAGCATCACCGCCAAAAGGCCACTGTAGGCCGGAGAATTCAAAACGAGATGAACTCCGGGAAAAAAGGACAAAAGGGGAAAAAAAGAGATGAACTCTAAGGTAAAAGACAGGCAAAAACTTCAAGCCATTTTAAGAAGCTGAACATGGAAAAGTGAAAGTGTTAGTCGCTCAGTTGTGACCGACTCTTAGCAATCCCATGGCCTGTAGCCCACCAGGCTCCTCCGTCGATGGGATTCTCCAGGCAAGAATCCTGGAGTGGGCTGCCATTTCCTCCTGCAGCGGTCTGCCTGACCCAGGGATCAAACCCAGGTCTCCTGCACCGCAGGCAGATTCTTTGCCAACTGAGCCACCAGGGGAGCCCCTCAACATGGAGACATAGACATAAGCCAAGGGGCACTGGTTTTAAAGAAACAGTCTGAGGGCCTGGTTTCTACACTGACCCCAGGGGAAGCCAGTTTTGTGGATTTTTTAAACACAGTCTACAAAGTTACAAGCCACTGGGAGGTTAGGCAACACTGGCAATCTAGCCAAACCTCAGGAGGTGACAGGAAGCCAGAGGAGCAGGAGTGGTGGGAGCAGGGGCAGATCCGGGAGGCTGGCATGCCCCCCTCCACCAGCCCCTCACCCCTGGCCTTAGGAAAGCGAAATGGCTTGGCTCAGCTGCGCAGGAGGCACTGAGGATTCATTCACTCTTCAGAGCATGCCAATGCTGCCTGTGTCTGCTCAGGGGAACTTTTACCGTTGGACCAAATGTTACATTAAACAAATAGCAATGAATGTTGCTCTCCCATCCCCCTCAGATTTAAGCTTAAGCACCCAGCTTAAGCAAAGATCAAAATACATGCGAGCCCCATGCAAAATCCCGGCCTGAGTCCAGTCTAGACTCGGGTCTGGTCTGAGAGCAGAGCTCTCCACGGAGCAGCGCCAGTCTCCAAGGTGACAGGACAACGTGGCCTCCGGGGCTTCTGAGGCCCAAGTGGTCTGCGGCAGGTCCACGCAGCTCAGGCGGCCCAGCCCCTCCAGGAGCGTCACTGCCCACAGCGCAAGGACAGGGAATGGAGGTGCGGGGGCCGGTGGGAGGCTCCATTTTTATTTTGAATCAACAGAAAACAAAACTTAATAAGCAACAAAGAGGCAAAGCACGGGAATTCCGATGAATAGCAGGGGCCAGGCGGCAGGCGGTACTTACTATGGTAACAGGTACTCTTTAGCACATCCACCTCCTGCTTGTCAGGCAGCCACAGGAAGAGAAAAGCACAGGTAGAGAGTCTACGCATCAGTCACAGCCACTGGGCCACAGACAGAGGGCGGGGGGCACCACGGACACGACCCAGCACACATGGAGGCCACGGGCCCCAGACACAGGCAGGCGGCCCCGGAGACCACCGGGGTCCGGCACTCGCCATGGACTCTGCGTGCGGCCAGAGGGTGCAATCCTGGGGCCTGGACATGACGGAGGACGCTTCCAGGGCGACCCAAGCACAGGAGGGTGGAGGAAATGTGCAAGCAGTGGGCGACACGGACGTCACGGACGCAAGCAGGCCCCATCCGCGGCCACGCGCGCCGCATTAGCGCAGGGCCGACAGGACACGGGCGCGGGCCAGCCACGCACTGGCCCCATGCAGACGCGCGCTGGCCTTAGTGTCAGCTCAGCTCCTGCCACACTCGGCCGCTCTTCTTCCACAAAGTCAGGACGTGTGCTCCCGCCCACAAGGCCGCCCCGGGCGATGGTGCACGCTCCCCTGAGGGGCGGGCCTGCGCTCACCTTCCCCCAGCTGGACAGGGGAGCTGGGAGGTGTGTGCGGCTCCGGAGGGCTCTTCTCTCGCTCTTCTCTCGGCTCATCCAGATTCTCTGCAGATGCACAAAACGCAGGGGGAGCGCGTGAAGAGCTGTGAACCCAGGGCCCCCCCGCCACCCTCCTCCAAGGCAGCCGGGCCAGCCTGCCCTGCTGTGGAGCCGCCTCCAGGAGGGCACAGGCCGGAGCCCCGAAGTGAAGCGCTCACAGCCAGTGTCCTCGGCTTTCCCCAGTCGCCGTCTCAAAGAGCATGAAGGAAGCCCACAAGGACTGGGGTGTGGCTCTGCATCTCAGGACTCGAGAGCTGCCTCTGTGCTGTGCTGAACAGGGACCCCTGGCCGGCCCCCCAGTGAGGAGCCCCTCCCCACGTCCTCAGCATCCC